CCCTAAAGAACCATTAGAAAATGATACTTTCCTGACCACAGAAGAAAGCTTGGCATGTTCCAGCGTCACTTTCCTCTGAGCACAGCAGATGAAGAACAGATAAAATCTGCCTCTGTGACTCCGCAGAGTGAACAACACTTTTGGACACTCTTAGATTACAATAGGATTCCTTTGCGTATTCCCAGAGGCCAAGAGTAACAATTACTGGTGCCTAAGAAATACCATAGGGCGGTGGGAGTAAGGTAACAGATAGACCCACTAGAAGGAGAAACAAAGATATGAGCAGTCTTAAGTGGTGGATGGTGCTAGCGCACCCGCTGGTGCCTCCTTGTGGCAAAAGGCAGGACCAAGGCCTCCCATCCCTTTACGAGTAGCTGTGCTCAGCCACATGCTGCTGTTCTCCCCAGAAACCCCCCAACTAACCTTCGGCTTGCTGTAGCCCTGGCACTTCCATAGGAAACACGTTCATTTCTGTTATGTTAGTCATGAAGTCGTGTCCAACCCATCACGGCCCCATGGACAACATTCCTCCAGGCTGTCCTGCCATACACCATCCCCCAGAGTCCACTCAAGCTCACACCAACTGCTTCAGTGACTCCATCTAGCCACCCCCTCCTCTGCCGTCTCCTTCAGGGGGTCAGGTCATAGCAGAGTGCTCTGACAAAAGGTGATCCACTGGAGAAGGAAATGGCAACCCACTCCGGTATCTTTGCCATGAAAACCCATGCACAGTTTGCAGGATGGTGCTGGTTGCAATTTTCCCTATCTTGTTATGCTTCCAAGAGTGCCTGGGGCCTCCCTCTGCCTTTTCAGTGCATCTTGCTACAGTCCAAGGTGCAGGATGCAGTATTAATAAATACTGCATCTCTGCCCTGTGAACCTACTTTATTTGACAGCTCCATCTTCAAGGGGAAGCCAAGAAGACTCTTGAATGGGAACTTTGAGTTCATCTGCACAAGGGAGGAATAAGAGGAGATCCTCAAGTGAAATTTTTGTCTCCTCCAATGATTTTCTGTGTGAAAGGACTTGAGTAGGACCTATAAACTATTGGTGCTAATGGGAGTTTTCTCCTGGGAAGGGAGAGAGATTCATTGAGATTGTGGCTGGGAAGAGCAGTTAAATCTTCCCTTCGTGTGCATTGTTGTTGCTGAAAACTGGCCTTTCCACACCTTCAGTTAATTTTTAAAAAGCAATTCCTCATATAGTTCCAAGTGACACCCCGAATGTTCCATCTGATTTGGCCCTCAGTGCATCCTGCCTCTGCCTTTTCCTGAGTGTGAAGCCGGTTTCCAATCTGTCTCTCACTTTGCCTCCAAAGTGTAGTACCTGAGGATCCGCTCTTGTTTCCAATTGCCTCGGCAGACATGCTGGGATACCCTGCTGAGGATATTCATGCTCTTAGACAATGCAGTTTAGAACTAGATGGAGAAGGATTGTACCTGCTGGGAAGGGTCTCTGCCATACACCACAATGGAAGCTTTTGCTAGGAAACTGTGCAGGTCATGGAGATCACATTGTTAGAAACACTGCAAGCACATCACAAGAGCTGATATTGTGCTCGAAATTCTTACTCTTCCAAACTGGCTCTTTCTGTTCTACACCTGCTTGAACAAATGTTTTGTCAGCCTGTCAGAGCATCCTGTGCAAGACTGACAAAACATTTGATCAAGCTGGCACAGAATGAGAAGTGTAGCTGAAACATTAAAGCCCACAGGACTTTTCCCAAAACAGTGCTCCAGAAAGCAGACTGGGAGGGCATAATTCTTCCTAATATATTATTATGTGACTTCCAGCCTTTTTTCAGAGAAACAAATGCAGTTCCACAGGATAACCTCTTTAGAGTCCTTCCCAAGGTTTTGTAAAGAGAAGGCAGAACCTAATTAGATTTTTAGCAAGGTTTAATGGAGAGAAAGGAGAGCACTATGTTTGGGCCTGTGGGGCTGAGGAGTACAGAGGAGAGAGGGATGGAATGTTCTGGCAAATTTGCAGGTCCTGCTTATTTTGTCCAATGTCTCTTGGTCTTTGTCTTTCTTCAGCTGATTAACAACAGGAACAATAGAAATAATAGTAAGAACAACAGCATGCTTCATGCTTGTATAGCCCTTTCAAACACTCAGAATATTTCACATGCTTAAAAGAGCCCTGTAAATATTACCATTTCCCTGAATTTCAGATTAAATGGCGTGGGGCACAGTGGCCCGAAGCGAAGGGGGTTTGACTGCCTCTCCACTCAGTAGCCACTCCATTCCTCCAGATCTCAGTTCTCCACAACAAAACTTTGGAAATGCCTCCCTTAAAAAGCATTTTATTCAAGATCGCTCACATTCCAATTATCTGCACGCCTGATTTATGGTTGGGTTATTAATGATAGCTCAGCATTCACATCTGTAAGCCATCAGCTGATGCCAGAGTCAATGAATGAGTAGCACGCACTGGTCTTACTCATAAACTGTTGTGCAGGACTCCATAGGGCAAGGGCATGGGCAGCAAGTGGATGTCCTTACATGGCAGACTTCTACTCCCTGCAGTCTTGACTATTGGCCGTGCTGGCAGGGCCTCCTGGGAGCTGTAGTCTCAAATAGCTGGAGATCTGCCTGCAGCCCACCTCTCCTCTATGGCACATTAGCCTACCAGGACCCCCATAGTGCCTTGCCCTGCTTTAGAAGGGAAACCCGTGCTCTTCTGTGTTTGCTCTGGCCATTATTATGCTTCTGAGCTTAAGCACTGTAGTTTCTTTCTACCACTGGAGATGGTTTGACTTATGGTAGCCAGGGCACACTGGACACAGGTGAGAAAGAAACCAGAAGTGGGCTCCCTGGAGTATCCGGAGCAGGTAGAGCGCAACAGGTATTTATCTGCCTTAAATATGTGGTGTTAGGTTGATTCGCTTGCCACAATTCTGGACAAGAAGCAGTAATAGCAAAATGATTTCTATATGTTGTCTGGAATGTCAATAAGTGAATTTGCCCTGTATATTGCACTTACAAGGATATTATGAGTAATAACAGTGCCTCACTGAAATGACATTCAGTATTTCATTAACTTTTTAGGTTTCACATTTAAGTTGTGTCTTTCATAAATTTTTTAGCCACGTATATCTGAAATCATTTTAGTTATCAGTCAAGGACACTGAAAATACTGTAATACATACTGAAAATACATTTATCATTGATAAAAGTCATCTGCAATTTGTCTAGTAGGTGAACAGTTTTCCAATAAGTGTTTATCACAGGAACTGTGATTATAGTAGGAATGTTATCAAGGTCAGCCTAGCCAGTACTGAACTTAAGTGTTTATATGGTGTGATCTATGGTTCAATGGCTTCCTTTGTTCCCACATATCCCTGGAAATCAAGCATCTACTGATTTTACTTATGCACTGAAGCAACTTCTAGTGATATTAGTGAAAAGGGGAGACATTATTAAAATACATATTAATATTTGGGACATTTTAACAGTGGTAAAACAGATAAAATAAAACAGATTATCAAAGCCTCAATTATTGAAATATGGAATATTTATTACAGTGCCACCCTATGCATAACTGTGCAGATGCAGGTCCCACAGTGTTCCTTGAGCTTACTCTCAAATCAGTATGACTAGGATTGTGGCTCTGTGTACAGTGCTATAGGTAGCCCCAAACTTGCTGAGGGGAAGGAGTAGCAGAGACACACACTGCCTCTTCTCACCTCCAGCTTGGCATATTTGCTAGCCAGCCATTTTTTCCTGTTTAGCACTTGTGCTTGGGAAGATGAGGGAAAGAAGCTATGGGGACACAGGACAGCTTATATCGTGGCCTCTGCAGGTTTCTCCTCACCCCACTCTCTGCAGTGCCCCAATTTCTCCCATTCCAAGGTTGGGTTCCCAGCCTCAAAGAGGCAGCTGGTGCTTCTTTCCATGCCAGCCACAAGGCTGGGAGGGGGAGAACAGCATGGATTCCCAGCTCTGAGGTCAAAGGTCTGTCTTCAGGCTTGGATCTGGGAATCTAAAGGGTCCTGTGGCACCTACAGAATATCTGAGTGAACATACTAAAAATATAAGAAGGGAATGTGGCTCTTTCATGATGGAATAAATCTTTAATCTGCTGAATATTCTGTTTGTACTAGTGTGCAAAACTCTCTTGCTTGCCTCTCTAACGTGCATTTGAGATCTTTTAAGAATAAAATATGGAAGATGAAAGCTGTTGCATTCCTCTTTACAAAGGACAGTTTACCAGTTGCTTTTGTTTTGTTTTAAAGGAAAGTTCCTTCAATTGTTTTTTTTTAATCTGAGAATAGCTATTTCCTATCTCTTTAGTTCATCATTTTTAATATCTTTGTCTAAAGGTTTTGAAGCTGACAACAGTTGCCTAGCTCCTCATCTTAGCATGTATAATAATAAAACTTTAGAATGTACAACAATCAAGCTTAAAAGATCTCCAAAGTGATAATCTATTAATAGCCTACTGACTTGAGTTTTCTGCGGTTCACAGGAGCAGTGCGCTCCACTTCAGTACATCCCTTTCACAGTTCAGTGTTAAAGTATGCCGGAAGCAGGAATATGGATCCCTCTTAATTTTAATCAATATTCTTGTCTTAAGTGGAAATCTTGAGCACACTTGCTAGGTAACAAGGAATATCGAGCTACACAAGCCTTACTTCTGAGTAAATATACTTGGAGTTACATTATAAATATGACCTCTCTAAAACAAGCAAAGTTGAACTAAGAAAAACAAAGAACATTAAAGTTCTTTCTGTATGAGACAGATTTAATGTAGGATATTAACTGCTGTGCCTTTTAATAAATCGGGAGGATTAGTAATGGATCCAGCTGTACACATCTGTGATTACAATCCATTACTAAATTATTCTGCGGTTTCTGAACATGAGGTACGAGGAGCGGCAGGTGGCTGCCTACCTTCAGTCAGCTGCTAGAAAATTGATTATACACAACTTGATTAGCCTTATTCACCAAAAACAGTTCATTTTGTGTTAATTAAGAAGGTTTTATCTTCCTTGGCAGCGGAAATTCTTGAATTGGCTGGAAATGCAGCACGAGACAACAAAAAGGGTCGCGTGACACCTAGGCATATCCTGTTGGCTGTAGCAAATGATGAAGAATTAAACCAGGTAAAAAGAGATTCCTTTGTATGAGGATTTCCTTTTGATTCTTTCCTTTTCTATGCCTTAGTTTTCTTTCCGCAGAGTTGTAATTCAAGACTTATACAGTAGTCTGACTTAATTACATGACTGGGAAATGTATCAGCAACTGTTCAGGCGGAAAGCAGCATGTCACCTCAGGCCTCAGATAAAGCGGGATCTTTTGATCCATGCATTTCTGTATCTATGTCTTCCGTAGCATGGTGTCTGGGCTCTACTCTGCTTCTCTAGTTTGAAAGCTGCTCAGAAGTGCCTTTCTTTTTTTTATTTCCTTTTAAGCTATTGAAAGGCGTCACCATAGCTAGCGGTGGTGTGTTACCAAATATTCATCCAGAATTATTGGCAAAGAAGCGGGGATCAAAAGGAAAACTAGAAGCCATCATCACTCCACCCCCAGCTAAAAAGGCAAAATCTCCATCACAGAAGAAAACCACAGCAAAGAAAACAGGTGGCAAGAAAGGAGCAAGAAAGTCTAAGGTACTCTTCCGTTTTGCATCAACTCCGAAATAAGTCTTCTTTGGCTCAGCGAGACTAACAAGACCATATACAATAGGACTCTGCTGCTAGCCCTTATCGTAGATTTCCTTCTTCTGGTTGGCAGTGGGAGACCTGATCTGAACTCCCTCCTCAAGAGAACAGTGCCCACATACTGTTCATCCTGATTTTGCTGTGTCCAAGTTAGCAGCGCTCTAGGTTCTGGTGCTGAAATATCAGAGGGGAATGGAGCTCGGCATAAGGCAGTGGGAAGTTATTTAAAAGAGGCATATCTACTGCAGTGCTTCCCAACCTTCTTTCACTTGTGCACTCCTTGGCAGCCCATTTCCATAAATTGTACCCTTCCTATTAGCATAATGTAATTAATATAGTTGCCGTTATTTCTGCCGTTATTCTTTTTTTGGCATACCCGTAAATGCCCTGGTTCATATGCCAGGGTATACATGTACCCCAGCTTGGGAAATGACTGATCTACTGTGATGGGAAGATGCACTGGGTTTCCAGAACAAGCAGCCCCAACTATCAGCAGAGAGGTCATTTCCCCTAAGCCTACATATGGACATCCTACCCCTTCCCCCAGTCCTCCTTTCAGAACTAGGTGTGGGAATACTCACAGAAAAAGGGGAAGTTGGAATACCATATATACCAGTGTATAAGATGACCCTTGAAATTGGAAATAGTGAGGCAGAAATCGGGGGGTGGGGGTTCTTATATGCCAAGGGAAATTTTTTCATCAGAGGAGGACCACTGTGTCCATGGGGGATAGGTTCTAAGTCCCCCCCCCCCATGGATGACTAAAACCACAAGACCCCTGCAAAAGGGGAAAACTGAATATCTCTGGCAACTCTGTTTGGGGATGCCAAACTCTTGGTCTCAGCACTAGCCAGCCTCATTCATATATTTTGTCTCTCAGTGGATGCAAAGACTCTAGATATATTCATGGTCTTTTTCAAGAGATATTTGCTGTTTTTTCCTATAGACATACCTGCATAAATTGGTGTATACAGGACCCTTGAAATTGGAAATAGTGAAGCAAAAGTTGGGAGCCATCTTATATGCCCCTCATATGACAAACAGAAAAACAGCCTAAATTGGTGAATATTTCATGGAGTTTGACTGTTCAGGGTGCATATTTATTTCATTATACAAATGTAAAGGTATGCAGCACTAAGAAAGGCTAAAATTCCATATTGGTATTGCAGATTCAGAGAATTACAATGATTATTCAGATTCTGACTTTTAATATAATCTTGACAAATACAGTTTTACAAATTTACATGTGTGATTCCAATTTGACATCCTAATCACTGCTAGCTTTTGACAGAATCTAACAATGGCATTCTTTGTAGTCTTGCATAAACGTATATGTTGTGGTGACCTGCCCAGGGAGCTTCAGCTGTTGGACAGTATAGAAAATGAATGAATGAATGAATGAATGAATGAATGAATGAATCCTGCTTTTCAGCAGGTAGGAAATAAGTAAGTGCCACATGGGACTGGGAGCAAAGACTGGGACTGAAGTGGGAGCAAAGACTGTGCTCACTGCCTTGCATGGGGCATCTTCAGTACAGAGGCAGTTGCTCCATCCACTTCTGAGAAGTATATATAATTAGTTGTGGTGTCATATCTGTTTCAGTGTTGTGTTTACTAACTGATAGATTGATTGCTGATTGATTTTGCATGAGAAGAAACAGGGAGAAGTCAGCAAATCAGCAAGTGCTGACAGCACAACAGAAGGCACCCCAACAGATGGTTTCACTGTCCTGTCTACTAAAAGTCTATTCCTTGGGCAGAAGGTAGGTTTCCTCTATTTATTCACATTATTTTTATACGTAGTGTGACTTAGATGGTACAATAGATTGGCATGCCTCTGTCCTCGTGATCCTCCATAAGCCAAGGAGAATACATCTGGAAAAATGCCTCTTTTGAAACATAGACATCCTCTCAGAATACTCTATATGATGTAGAAAATACGGAATACTCCTGCTGCTCTCTGATTAGAACTGTTGTGCCAACAGGGCCCACCATTTGTGCACCAGAAAGCAGCAGTTCCAAAAGCAACCCTGAAAACTAGCAGCAGCCCAGTTTCCAGTTTGTGTCAGGACTCTTTTGGCAAACTCTGCTGACCTGCCTTGTTCAGAAAAGACCATTTCCATCATTTCGGGTTGGCTTTAGAACTGCTAGTGATGGTCGCACTAGCACATGGGCAGACTTGGATGTTAGCCTATATTTTTTAAATTGGAATGTTCTATTTTTATTGATTGATTGATTGATTGTATAACAACATTACAAATTAAAAACAGACAGGTCCATGCTCCCAAGGAAATTACAATCTAAACAAAATACCAAAAGGAGCAGAGGAAGAGATAAGGGTAGCAAGGGGTGAGAAGGAAAATGCAATTACATGAACCTGAGACATAATTGTAGTCAGGAATGAAGGATAACACAAAGGCCCCTCACAGTTTTGCAAAATTTGAAAGAGGAGAAAGTCATAGTGTCACATACATATTCATGGAGCTGAGCATAGGCAGACAGGAAGGGAAAAAAAGCCTTCAGGTGACTTACGGAAGCAGGCTTGGAGGGCCAAAGCCAGAGGCAAAAATCAAATGGAGAAAAGGGCAAGAAGGACAGTGGCTGAGTCCACACAACACAACAAGTGACCCTGTGTGGCTAGCATGGTTCATGTTTTTTTGCCCTGATCTACCTTTCCATCCTCTCCACTCAGTCCTCCCTCTGCTGGCACATATCCCATCAGCCACTATGATACAAGTGAAATGGCTTTGCGAGAGAGAGGCCATGCTATGGTAATCTGAATTTGCAAGGCCCTGCTGAAACATATATTTATTGTATATTTTATTATATGCCATCCCGAGACGCTAGTGGTGGCCAGGTAGAAAAGCTTTTAATAAATAAATAAATAAATAAATTTCTATAACATATACAGTATATACCAGGAATGTGGGATCCTATTTTCCCTAGTACATATAATTTGGGCTTTAAAGGCCAGGAAGTACTTGAAAGCAAACCTCTGAATTCAATAAACGTATCTGTGTAGCAGACATTCAGTGCTCCTTGCAATTTATCGGGCATGCAGTATAGGGTACTAAAGCCCTGTTCAGGCACACAGTAGACTGTGTGGGGCAGTGCACCCTGACGCCTTCTCCCAACAAGCCCATGTCCATTTCCAGCCTTTGTGCATTGAAGGGAGTTTCTATGCCTGTTTGCCTGCAATCCGCACAAGCTTTTTGAGTACCTGAATAGCAATTGCAGCCAAGAATCAAGTTACCTGTTGTTCTTATTCAAGCCACACTTCTCTGCCCCCAGCTGGAAACACCCATCTTGGTGAGGGAATGGGGAGGAAGGCATGGTCAAAGGGTTGAGGTCACATTAAAGAAGCTTCTCTCCCCGTTTCTCCCAAGCAAGTCTTCCACCACCTCACAGCAGTGTTATAAGCCAAACACAGAATTTGGAACTCCTTATTGACCTGAAACGTGTTGCTACACTCTTACTGAAGGGATGGAAGAATGAGTATGAAATGGTATAGCAGCCTATACAAGCCTGACGTTAATCCTACATTTTGATGAGAAAATGTAGGATTAAATGTAGAAAATTGGAGTCTTACACATTCTTTACAAAAATCATGAATCTTAGATGCAGTTTAGTAGATATATGTTTTCATTATTTCATACTGAAATAATAATATTTACCAGAGACAAAAGTAGCTTTAAGCAGAATTGCTAGATGTGTATTTGATCTTCAAAGACATATTTTCACAAAGTTATAGAAGGTTTAGGTATTTGCACTAAGAAATGTTATCATTTTTACTAGTCTTTGCTTTTCAACACAAGTCAATATTTTGCATGTCTATCAACCTCTAACATTTTTTATTCCACTGATATGAAGATGACTCTAATACTCTGTTAATCTATGTCTATCAAATATTAAAAGCTACATTTGGTTCTCATACAGGTAGTCCCCAGGTTATGAACATCTGGGTTATGAAGAACCCATACCTATGAACACACAGGCTTTCGTAAACCCTAAATGACTATTTCCAGCAATAAGACATGAATATCTCTAGGGAATTATGCAATGTGTTTGGCGACATGTGGTCCGTGGCTGCATAGTTCCTACAGTATCCACAGCTTTTCATTCTGCAGCGTCAGCTTGAGCATACTCAAGCCAGTGCGTTTCGGGACACATGCAGGGTGTGTGGTTCCCCTTTGGTTTTTCTTTAGCATTTCCCCTTGTAAAGCAAGCCCTGCCGCAAGTACATTTATAATGAGAAAAACTGTGGCTGTACAAACAAACCTTGAGGCCTACTTCAAGAAAGTGACTCCAGTGCTAACCTCCCCCCCACGCCCCCAGCAGCTCCAGGTCCACCTCCATCATCATTAGTTAATGCTAATGTTCCATCAAGAATGTTGTAAACTGTTTTAAGAACTGCTTTTTTTAAACAATAAGGCATACCTACACACATGCACACAGACTCTCTCTCTCTCTCACCAGTACCTGTAGTTACATTATTATTACTGTATTATTATCATTATTACAATGCTGTATTGTGTTTTACATGTTTTATCAAATATGCAACAGTTTTATATGCATGGAAAATATAATACATATTACACATCTGGTAAGCAACTCGTCTTACATACAAATTCACCTTAAGAACATTTTGAGGCATGGAACTTGTACATAACCCGGGGACTAACTGTATATTGTTAAGAATAATGGTATATGAAGAAATGTAGCTTACTTTGGAGTTAGTGTTTTAAGGATACAGACTATATTGGAATCCAAAGAGCCAAGCAACTAGGTCTGTGTGTCCAAAATGGTTTGGGGCTTGTGCTTTCCACATGTGCAGCTCCTCACTGCACTGGCAAACCAATTTTTAAAACTGAGAAACTTTCCAAAGCAGATTGAAAGTTGACATTGGCTGTGTCTAAAGTAGCTCTTTGGATCCTGACTTGTCTATATTGGATTATTCCTTGGATATAGGATATTTTCACTCTTAGAAGATATGCTTGGGTTTATTGATCTTGGTGCTCAACCTCTACTGGATAAAATTATAATTATAGTCTTTTTAATTGTAAAGTATTAAACATGTCAGAACTGAACCAGCCACAGTACTTCAGTGCATTTTCATGTGGCAAAAGCAGCCATATAAGTTTGGCCCTGCTGATTATAATTAAGTGTTCTTCCTGGATAGAACTCATCTCATTCAGTTTTAAGCAAACCTCTTCTCAACCCTCTTGATCCTGTCATTGCTCAGCTGCTAGCAAGATGTATGCCGGCCATTAAGAAAATTAATGCTACAGCCCTTTATGCACTTAGCTGGGAGTTAGCCCCATTGAATACAGTGATCCTTACTTCTGAGTAGCCATGTCTAAGATGAGGGCTCTTGGAGGCCATGTGAACTGGGCAGTATATGGTGGTCATAGATGGCGACTTCCATGATGGTTGTTGCACTTTTTCCACCCGCCTGAGTCAACAAAATCATCCCATGTGCGGCCCAGTTCAGACCAGCATTTCTCCACGTGTTGTAAGCATCAGCCTAATGCTGGGGAGGGAGAGTGAATGCTGTAGTTTTAGAAAAGAGGGAACGCTTACCTTTTGCCTTGCTTTCATGGCTATGGTCAGACTGCTTAGAGTGCGGGGATTTCTTGTTCCTGTCTGTATGCAGAGAGATGTCCCGCTATGTAATGAAATGTTCCCATGAATCCGCAGAGCAAAAGGGAAGCCTTTTCCAATACAATAGGTAACAGGGGCATTCCCATGTTTGGTTACACAGACAGCGGAATACCACTACACACGGCTATTTGTGTGCTCGGTGCAGGTCTCTTCCTCTTTCCTTGTTGCAGTAGTTGAAGAAGGGATCTTTAAGTATTATTTTATTTATGCCCATGCACTTGTCTCACCGGTTTGGTGTGACAGGCTACATTTCAGTGCATATTTATGATGTATGCTATTAAAGTCAGTAGGATTTAAGTATGTGCACTGGTGAACATAACATGTGGGAACTCATAAGTGAGGTTAAGTGATCAAGATAACTAGGGTTGTCTGCGAGATCATACGGTCTCTTCTGTTGTGGGCAAATTCCCTCCTCCCTTCTCTGACTACCTTACTTTCACTAAGACTTGCATCTTTCAGAAGTGGTTAAAGCTGCTGCCAGCACAATTAACCAGAGCTTAAAGTTGGTTAACAACTATATGTTTCATGCTCACACCTGTAGGAAATCTGTGACACTGTTCATTAAAACAACAAGCTGTTCTGGAAGAAGGGAAGTTAGAGCAAAGACGTATTAGGGGACAGGAGTGCTTACCCCTGCTCTCTTGCCAAGTCTCTTTTTTTAATTCCTGCCAGAGTTCTACCCATATTGTTGTTGGCGTAGAAAAACACCCTTGGAAACCCACTAGGGCTGGGTGAATCACTTATGGGGAGAGATATAGCAGACTGGGAAAGGGCCCAGGACTTGCTCTTTCTTCCCAATTTCTCATATCAGCTTCTCATTTTGGAAACAGACTCTTACCAGCAGTGTTGTATGACATGTAGGTAACACTTGTTGGGCAGAGAGAATTTGCAGCAGCAAAGGAATGGGGGAAGAGGTGCACCTTATTCTGTGGTCCACTCCTTCTTTCAGAGTGACAATTAAGTGGCCTCAATTAGCCCTCTGTCATTAATTGCAATTAGGTCTACACCAGCCCATGTACTGTAGCCACACTGACTGTTATAGGAAGTTATTTTTTTCCAAATAAGGGATTACTCAAGTTCCATCAATGATTTTAATTTCCCTTTACCAGAACACATAGCCAAAAATCTTTCCTCCACTACCATGTAGAATATTCCTAGTTAAAAGGGAATTAAGGGTACAATTCTATATCCACTTACCTGGGAATAAGCACCACGGGGTTCTGAGTAGAAATGTATAGGATGGCATTGTAAGCTATGTGTGTCACCCAGAAAACTGCAGGTGTGTCCAGACACAGGAGAAATTTCTTGACTGGAAAATGTTAGTCTGCAAACCCAAAGAATTAGAAAGGTGTGCATTTGCTACGAAATCTCATGGAATAGCCTTTCCCAATTTAGTACCCTCCAGATGTGTAGGATTTCAACTATGGCTTATAAGGATGGATGTTGTAGTCCAACACATCTGGAAGGTGGCCGGTGTGGGAAAATTGGCATAGAATATTGACGGTTAGGATACAGACACACTATTGATACATAGAGGGCAATTAATAACTAAATATTCTTAGGTTTTCTGTACAGTACTTCACAAATTCTTCTCCCATGAAATCTTTCTTCAGTGTTAGTTGGATTTGATTTTTTTCCTTCCCCATGCTCCCCGTTTTTTCTTTTTGACAATCCCAGTTGTCAAACACAAGGCTCAAACGGTAGAGTTAAGAAACTCATAGAAATTGTTAGAAGGGCATAATATAATTGCCGAGTCACAGTTAATGGTTACAAGCAGGATTTTGCACAGTTAATTCTAATTCAGAAAATTTATCCATATTTTTTTTCAATATGGAGGAATTAAAATGTGAGGGCACTGGGTTTTTTTAGATTCATCTCTGATTTTCGTATCTGTAACGCTCCCTTCATTTCATTAAATCTTTGTTTCCACTTTGAGGATTGGACTACTGGGCCTATGTTTTTTGCACTGTTTTTTTTTAGTTGCAAAATTGTTTTTGTACTTTTTCTTCACATCTTCAACAACAATAATAAAGGTCCCATTTTAGAGAAAGTTAGTAGCACACATTAACTGTGAAAGCAGTCAGCTTTAGGTTGTTTGTTACTATCAGGTATCATTGATCGCAATGGGATTAACGTGCCACTAACTTGCCTTAAAGTTGGGTCCCTGTGATTTCAAAGTTCTGTGAGATGGTTTTTCTTGTGTGTATTAATCTAAAAGGGAAAAATGTTAGTACATCTTTGCTAACACTTTCACAACCAATCAGATTTCTTGCATGGTTAGAGCTTGGGTTGTTTGTTGTTCAGAGTGGCTTGTGGAGAATATTTAAGTATTCTCATTATTCTATTTAATTCTTATTATTCAATTATTTTATTTAAAGTTATTTTAAACTGTTTTGGGGGTGGACCCTTAATGAACATGTTTTCTTCAAATTGCTTCATTGTCAGATTTGGTGAAGTGAAGGACTCATCCTATAGTAATTGTGAGCCAGAGTTCCCAAAACTGTGTACGTATGTCAGGCCAAATCAAATTAAAGTGCTGAGAGAGAGAGAACAGACAGACAGACAGACCAGATATAAAATGTAATGCAGCAAATGGCAGGGTTAGATTTAGACATTATGGATGTTTTACAAATGTACTTTGAAGTAATAGGGTACATTTTCCAAAAGCCACATGCTATAGCACTCCCTTAGGGATGCTGAACAGAATACACAATATATCCTGCATTAAAATTCCATGTCCTTGGAAACCTAGCATGTAAGGGAAATGGACTCTAAATTAACCTTCCTCTTGGTGCACTAGTTTTCTGTGTGAACAGTTTGTACATGTATAGAGAAGTTCTTTAGCTGATCTTAAAGATCATGCAAAAAGAAGGTAAGTAGGGAATGTAGGGCTTTATCATATAGAATCAGGAGTATTAATTCTGATGGAACAAAGGGTACATTCTCTGCCCATGTGATCGGAAAGTGCTGGAACATGCTAGAGCTTGTCCCTCAGGTCGCAGAGGGGAGACAAGGGAGGACGATACACTGGAGGAAGAGTGTTTTGCTGGAGTGTCCCCCTTTCTCCCTCATTGCATGGACACAGGGAATGTCTAAACAGGACTATGGAGTCCAGGGACACTAGCAAACTACATACTGTACTGGTTTGATCCCCTACTACAATATCCTGCCAAGTGATAAGGAGATGTCTTAAAAACACATTATATTTTTTATTAGAGTGTTAAAGAAAAACAGGGCACAGTTTCCTCTAAGAACTGATATACCCTCTTTCCATCTATTTATTTATTGTATGCCCCTTGAACAGAATAATAAATCAGCCAGCCATGTTCCATTTGATGGTAAGGCATACTCTTAGGCCAGTGTAAACAGATTAGATGCATGTATGCAGTTAAATGAACACTTGTAACTACCCTTAATTGAATGCTAAAAACCTCTGGTCCCATGCTCTTGCAGATGTATTCCCATCAGGCATTAAAGTTTGGTAAGCAAAAGTTCTGACCTGACAAACGCTTCCTTTAATGAAGAATCAAGTTTGAGTCTTGGGTTTGAAACATAATTCGGTTTTGTTTGTTTGTTTCTTTGTTTACCAATAACCTCCTTTATGACCTGCCATTTGTTTTGCATATTTGTTTGCAGTGATGCTATCCCCATCTGCGTTGCAAAATCTTACTTTACTGCAGCTTCTCTGTGATTTCCCAACTGTCCTGTTGTTATTTCCCACCTCATGCTTTTCTTTTCAGCTGAACCTTATTCACAGTGAAATCAGTAATTTAGCCGGCTTCGAAGTGGAGGCCATAATCAATCCCACCAATGCTGACATTGACCTTAAAGATGATCTAGGTAAATGGGGAATGGGCTGCCATAACTAACAGTCACATGGAAATTATGGAATTCGTCTATTATTCTCATGTAATAAGCTCAATATTTTACAGCATAATCCTATACACATTTATTAGATACAAGTCCCACTGAGTTCACTGGGGCTTCCTCCCAAGTAAGTGGGTATAGGGTTGCAGCCTTCATTCCTCAAACTACATTTTAGGAGGATACTTATATGCCCAGCTTTCCCTACATAATAGTTGCATGATGACTCGTACCTAAGTAACTCTGAAGTCACTTCAGTATTGTTCCATAATAATCAGATGTGACTGTTGGTTCCTTTGGGAATGTTTCATATATGGATTCTTTGAGGACTCAAATACTGTTTTTATACATATATCATCAAGTTGCTTTCAAACTAAGTAGTTTCTCCATTCTGATTACAGGTTTCTGTTTTCACTGTAGTAAGAAAAAGTAGAAATTGATAGAGCCAATCAAGTTTAATTCAATCAACTTCCTGTTCAGTTATAAACCAATATTATTTTTATGACTGGCTATAGGTTTAAATATTGCTTTCTTCAAGAGGAAGTTTACCTGCCAGAAAGGTATATATTTAATAATATTAATCTCCATGATCTTTTCAAGCAGCTTCTTATTCCATATTTGAATTTAATAATTTATTAATGAAATATCGACTTTAATTCTGCTCATTTTTATAGCATATAGAGTGGTAGATGAAAGGTATGTGAAACACTTTCCTAAACCAGACATCCCTGGAAAATGGTTATGCATTTTTTCTAGTTACCCTCAAATGTAAATTTAAAATAATGACTAACCTATAATTAGAAATGCTATTAGATATTTATGAAAATCTAATGAGATTAATTTAGTATAAATCTGAATATCATGATTTTAAAGTTTTAAATCAACATTTTTCTCAATCCAAAGGAGAATATTAGAAGTGCAATCTAAGCATTTTTACAATGCAATCCTTTACGTGCATATTTGGAAGCAGCAGAACAATCCTAACCCCACAGATCTGCTTGCTTGCAGTTTAGAACAGGGCAGACAAGCCTTTCCACTGGCCAAGTGAAGTTCTGCTAGTGGTGGGCAGGGGAGCATTGCCTACCTTGGAGACCCCAGTTATGCCCATGGAGAACTCCAAAGGCATTAACCAACAGCACTAGCAATAGACCTCAAAACAGATCCATATAGGTCTGTTGCATCCCCAACAACTCCTCATCTTTGGGCTCCTCAGCTATGCAAACTTGCAGCTGGCCAAGCTATTGCCACTTCCCATTGGTTTCAGTGGGGAATTATATTGGTTTCTTAAGGTCTTCAGTGCTAAAAAGTCCTCTCACCTTCCCACCCCAATCAGCCCTAGCCAGTGTGAATCAGCAGGGCCTTGGAAGTAGCTGATGATCCACCAATTCACTCTGCACCTCACCCCGTTTAGGATCGCCCTCCATGTCCCCTTGAGTTCAGTGGGGCTTACTTCCAGGTAAGTGGGTACAGCGTTTTGAAGGCTTAAAGTCTCATGGTTCTGTGGTACAGTTAAGAAACTCATTGATTTCAGTAGGACTTTGGAGAGCATAAACTAGCTGCAACATGGCTCACTTGCAATATGATTAGTCTGTTTACTATGGAAAATAATCAAGAAGAGATGCAAATTGATCACTATCAAAATGGAGAAACCGTTTTTTTTGTTGGGCTTGATGATGTAGTTATCATCATGTTCTGTGAGGTTTCAGTTTTACAGGTTTCTGCAAAGTCAAGAAGGTGCTAGCTGCTCTTAATGCTTCCTTCCTGAAATGCTTGCAGTGTCTTTGGCCTGTTGGTCAAAGCTAAAATTGATGTACTTGACGCTTCTGCACATCCACCTTTCACCCCCACCCCTTTTCTCAGCGTACGGCTGTACACAGATTTCTGGTTTTATTATTGTTTATGGCACACATTCTGGAGCTGAAAGGTAGGAGAACAAGGATGTTGGTACATGCATAAATGTAGTTCCTGTCTGGCTCTTAGACCAACATGGTTGATACACATTTGTTTACCTGTTGTAGTTGCAAGTTGTTCAGGCTGACATTGCCACGATCGACAGTGATGCTGTCGTTCACCCGACAAACTCTGACTTCAACATCGGTGGTGAAGTAGGTAATGGAGAGTTCAGTGCTGCAGAGTTTGTATGTGTGTGCATGACCAATCCGCAGCAACAAGCGTGCCCCCGCTCTGCAGAGCTGCATTCTTTTCTCCCTTCCAGCAGTCCTACCCAATTCCAATCATACCAAGTGCCAAATTCATCAAGTCTAACAGTCTTTCCGCTCGACTATTTTGCACAGACAATCACTTCAGTTCACCTGAGCCTTCCCTGCCTCCGTCACACTGCAATTGATGGTGTTATCGGGAAGGAAGAACGTGTTCACCCTTCATGCACTGCATCAGGGTACAAACCCAGTGCCAGTGGTGCAGTAGCAACTTTGTCTGATGAGCGGGAATAGGAGACCTGGTGGTCCTCTGAGCGTCTCTGCACTGCAGACTGAAACTAGTTCCCTGTCTCCAGATAGCTCTACAGTTATGTGAGAGAGGCCAAAAATCTAACAGAGGCACTCACACCAAACTATGATTCCAGCATCCTTTGGAGGAAGATGTTGCAGTTACACCAGTTCAGGCACTACATTTTTAAAGCTTCGAGCTAGAGTAGCTCTTGTAATTCTGCAGCTAGATTCCATCTCCCCATGCTTGATCACATTTAGGATGCTTTACTCCTAAACCCCAGCACGTTGATGGCTTATGTATTTATTTCTGCAGCATGGAGGTAGGCTAAACATTTGTGGATCGCAAATTCGTATATCTCATAGCTGTATCTGAAGTTCCCAAGCTTTCAGGTGAATTTCGCATCTAGATGCTCAGATCCGATGAGCAGCCGCTAGACCAAGTGATTACACAAAAGCTGGGTCTTGGCTACAGTGAGATGTAAAGTAATCAATGAAGTGATCTGGTGTTGCACACTCAAGCTTAACAGGAGAGTAGATGTAAACAGTCACTTATAGTGTATAGCAATGGGTTAATCCCTAAAATGCCAAGGGACTATCATAAACCCATGCAAAATAGCATCCTTTTAAAAGTGGCCATGTTTCATTAACGCTGGTCTGCCAACCATCTTAACCATAGTCAGTGCCAAGTTCTCATGTTGCTTAAAAAGGGCAACACCAGCTATGGAACTAGTAAAGCCCAAATAAGCCCACAAGAAGCTTATTTTCTTCTTCTTCTTGAAAATATACATTTGACATTTACTGAATCTCTGTACAAGGTAGATCTTTGACTCCTCAGAAGGTACAAAAGCTCATCCTTGGGCATTTTAAGACAGCCCTTATCCAAGCTGCAAACTTGCAACTTTGCACACTACAAATCCTTTATTTGCCCCATTCTTCTTCCCCACATACATGAAAAGTAGTTGTAGCTAGCGTGTGCAAAATCACACATCATAGGCAAAATACATCCGATATCTTAATGAGCTGGGTGAAGGCCAAGTTAGTCATATTCACTTCCAGTGAAATCAACGTGAAAGGTTACTCATTGTTTAAGTGGCACCTCAGACTACTTAGTCTAACTCACTTCTGAAAACTGAAAGTTTGTATTAACTTATCATGAAGAAATACTTTCAAATCATGCCTGCAATTGTGGGGCAGGGTGCTCTTGAAGGAACCTGGATTATTTCATTCTGTAGTTTCCCTATAGCCTGAAGTGCCTGATCCTGCTTAATCTTGGAAGCTAAGCAGGGTCAGACCTGGTTAAAATCTGGATGGGTGACTTAAAATAGTGTGAACCACCCTGAGAGCTTTGGATATGGGTGGTACATAGAAATGTAATAATAATAATAATAATAGTGTACAATCTTCTAAATGCTGTTGACTGCTGGAAGGAAGAACAGAAGTGCACACATGCTTAGCTTCAAATGATTACTTTAATCCATGTAAAGTCCTTTCTAATTGCACCTTGTGTTGGGGAAATATTTTGAAAATTTTACAGACATAAATTTCTGTCTAGACTGTGACACCATTATACAAATGCCTGCTTGGATAGCATGCAACAATGGAATATTCTGTGGGAGTAGCACATATTTTTATTCCCTACTTACCTTTTATTCCACTATGGTGGAAGATGTGACAGAGGCCCATTAACCAGAACCCCTGTTAAGATGGTGTAATGCAAGATTCCATTTCTTTGCCGTGCTCCAAAAAGAGGATTAGACAAATCGAAAAGGGATTAGGCAGATTCATGGAGGATAAGACTGTCAATGGTTATTAGTCACAATGGCTATATATTACCTCCATATCAGAGGTGGTGCGCCCCTCAGTACCTACCAGTTTGTGCTGGAGAATTAGCAAGGGATGGTGCAAACGCATTCATGTCCTTTTTCCAGCTTCCCATAAGTACCTGGCTGATCACTGTGGAAACAGAATGATGGACTAGATAGGCCTCTGGTCTGGTCCCCCATGGCCCATCTGAAGTTCTTAAGCACAACTGTGACATGGCCCTCTATTTAAATACTTTGCTTCCTTTTTGGAGTTGTGCCAAAATGGAATTGTTGATCAGGGCTACTAGATTTTAAAGTATTATTTAAGAGCAACTCATTTTCAATTATGTATTATACACATACACATTTACATATAGATATATAGATAATATACACATACATTTTCTGTCCTAGGCATCAAAATGTCTTGGGTTATTTCAGATGCTGATACATACAGATATTTGGTAGGGAGGAAGAGAAAATTGATGTTCTCATATATTTTATTGATAAATGTGTTAAAATAATCAGAGACAGAATCCAGTAAATAGAGGATTCAAGAATCAAAGCCAAACTGGGATAACAAAACAAAAATAAAACTCAGAAACTACCTTTTTATGAGTCAGATACTCATACAGAATATGGCTATACAGTACTGTAATCATTTTAAATTAGCTTAAAATAAAATATAATTTAAATAAATTAAATTATGTGCATCTTTCAATTCCTTCACACTAGAATCTGCCCTGTCAAACATTCATTTTTGGCTAATATATTTTTACAGGAATTGTAAAAAGTCAAAGTGGTTACCTTAGAGCCATGATTTAGACAGATTCCTTGCTAGATACTGTCCCCAGAAACACTTGTGTCAGGATTGGCACAGGAAGCTGCCTTTCACAGCTCAGTACTGTCTGCAGAGATCGGCTGTGGATCTCCAGGAATTCAGGAAGAAGTCTTGCCCAGCCCTATTTGGGGATCCCAGAGACAGAATTTAGGACTTTTTGCATGCTGTTGAACTTTGCTCCTTGTCTTCAGTTGCTGTGGAGACGATCATATATCTTGCTTATGTTAAAATATTTAAATGTATTGGTTGGACTCCAATCCTGATTTTCCTTCAGGAAACTTGCTCCAATGGTCCCAAGGCAGTTCCCTGTTCATGTAGTAACCAAGATAAGGTCAGCTTAGGTTCAAAAATTCTCTCAGAGCATTTTCATGTCTGTTTGGTACTACTTCTGCAAACACATTAATCTGTGAAGCACAGACCAACTTCCAAGGGAATGAACACAGTCTGGTCCAGCTTATGTAAGCTAAGCAGCACTGGACCCAGTCAAGGCCTGGATGGGACACTGCCTTGGAAAGCCATACACACCGCCTTGTGGAAGAATGGAAGAATAGCATGATATATTTACACTGAACTAATAAATGGAATCCACAGCCAACAAATTAGAGAATGTGTAAGCCATTGAACTAAAATCCATTTTATACAGTTCTTATACTGTAAAATCAGATGAAATGGTACTTTATCAACCGTCTGTCAATATGTGATAGATCTTCAATCACTCACATACTGTGCTTTGATACACAGTCGCAAGTCAAATGCAGCTCACTGAGCATATAATATGTGCACTTCCATCAGAAATCGCAGTCCTGTCCTCCATATCACTAAACTGAATTCATTTCTCAAAGTATAGCAGTATTGTGGCTTTCCATACTAACAGCCTGATCCTATACAGATTTACTGAGACGTAAGTCTTGCTTACGAAGCGTGCATAAGGTTGCAGCCCAGGCTTGTAGATTTCCTTGAAATAAGCTTGATTTACTTCTCAAGTAAATATGTTGATACTTAGGTTGCAGGACTCAATTTGCAAAGTGGCTGCTCAATCCAGAATCAAACCAGTAACAGTGTCACTGTTTTCTTGCCTCGCTACTTGTGTGATCATTAAGCAAACTGCAATGTGATTGGGTGGTTAATTAGGAATAAACGTTTGGGGCTGCTTTATATCTCTTCTGTATGAAAGCAAAGCTGCAAAATAAGATCTAAACATTTAGTGGTGGCCTGCCTCTGTGCGAAATTCAGACCTGAAATCTCAGCTCTGCAGCTCTCTTCCTCGCACACAAGCGGCATTCATCTAGGCTCTTTAGGTGCAGCGAAGGGGTTCAGTAGAGAAATGTGTTCCCTGAAGAATCTCCTTATTACTGAGGCTCTTCCTCTTGGTTAAAGGTGATTCAACAAGCCGGGCAGTTGTCAAGTAAAGCAGCCCGCTGCACTCACAAGACTGTTTCACTCCTGGGGGCCACCTGTTGGGGTCAGGGATGAAGATGAGGTGAGTTTCAAGTTCTTCTTATGGCAAATCTGTCTTTAAAGGAATCTGTAACCAAAGGGGGTCATGCCCTCTAAGGGAAAGAGTTGAGGGATCAGTCCAAGTGCCACAAAAGGAGCATGTTCTCTGGAATGTGTCTACCACCTGGTGCAGAAGAGGTAACTAGAAATGTTACTGCCCTGCTGGTTGACACTGAGAATTGCATCAGTTTCAGATGGAATAACTACATGTGGGAGGGTAACTTTTTAAAAAGAGAGATTGAAAGAGAGAGAGAGAGAGAGCGGGGAAATAGTTATTTCTAGACTAGTCCCTAAAGGTTTAGATCTTACTTTGCAGTCCCCAAAATTTTTTGCTTGGAGAACTCTGTTATGTGCAACCCTCTGACATGATAAATGCTCCTTTCGATGCTCTCTCACTACTCTGTCCTTGTGCAGGAAGCACTTTGGAGAAGAAAGGTGGAAAAGAATTCCTGGAGGCCGTCGTTGAACTTCGCAAAAAGAATGGGCCGTTGGACACAGCAGGAGGTGCAGTTTAAATCCCTGGAAAATGGGGAAATTAAACATCTGTGTGTATCATGGACTCTGGTTTGGTTTAGCTGAAATGTATTTTGAAGATTATGAAAGGGTTATCTGTACCAGCCCATTTGTGAGACCTCTAAGAGAAGGGCACTGTGGGCTTTGCATACGGATTCTCTGTGTTAAAAGAGCATGAATACCACTCTTAAAATTATCCAGAACTTTGAGACTGGGGAATTGAAGAAGAAAATATATTTTACACACATACAATTTTAACCTGACCATAGTATACAAATAGATTCAGAATCCCATGCTTGTATACAAAGGTTATTAAACACACATGTGTACTTTATTTATTTCTTCTATTTCTATCCTGCCTTTTTTTTCCTTCCAAGGAACTCAGGGCAGCTTACTCAGTTCAGTCCTCCTCCTCCTCTCAGTCTTAACCTCAGCCTTGTGAGGGAGGTTGGACTGGGAGGCTGTGGCTGGCGTAAAGTCGCCCACAGCGCTCCAGGACTGAGTGGGGACTCAGATCACCTGAGTCCCAGTCCCACTCTCCTCATCACTGGGGCACACCGGCTCACACTTCTTAAAGTGCACACCTTGCCAAATTTGCTTAGAAGGAGGTTCCATAGCTTTCAGAAGAACTAACTAGCCAGGTGAATGGAATAGGGCTGTGGAGGATGGTGTGGAATTCCACACCCGCACTGGGAAAAGAAGGTCGGTATATGTTTTACAACTGATGTGCTCAGGTAGGAGATGAGCAAGGAGAGCTCCTTGAGTCTCAGCAACCATTTGTTTATATGGTGGATGTAATGCATTCCTTTACATAGTCTGCACTTTCTGTGAAACAGACGTGTCCAGAATTTTCCAGAGTGTGATGACAATGTCTCAGATAGTATAAATGTCCCCCAGACCTAATATTACCCCTGTAACAGAAAGGTTCATTTTGCTGAATTTCATTGACTTGCTCTCTCTCTGTCCCCACAGACACACAAACAAACACACAACTATAGCAATATGGATAACAATTAAAAACAGTTACACAACACTCCAAAGATAAGAAATGTTGCAGACAGTTGCAAAATTAAAACTCATCACAATTCGGTCAAGCTTTCAGGTTTTCATTCGTTTTTTAAAGATTTGTTTTAATCATAGAACAGCAGTTCTGAATAACACAGCAATTATCATCTTCCTTAGAACTCCCAAACTTCATAAATATGAATTTAGTTACAAATACCTGAGTTCATGTAGTGATCTGGTTTGGATGTAACACTAAGCTATGGTTTAGTGCAGACTTTTCTGACCTCATGAACGCCACATTCGTGGACTACAGCTTTCATTGTCCACAACCACAATGCTTATTTGTTGGGGCAGATGAAACTGGCTGTAACAGTCCATCACATTTAGAGGTTGTCAGGTTGGTGAACACTGATATGATATCACATGTAGCTTCCTTCCATCTCCTTCTGTGATGTGGCTACAGGGAAGAGATTGGAAAGCTTTTGCTTCTGTTTTCAGGTAACTGTGGTCTTCTATTACAAGAGGATCCAGAACAATGTTTAATCCTAAGGATAATTGAGGGGATGGGTGCCCACAAGGAACATGCAGCCCCATAGCTCCCCACTGCAGCTTCTATCAAACCCTAAAATTTGAGGGACTCCCTCAAAATGTAAAAAATTGGCAAGGAAAATGGTAGCCAGAGGTGCCACAGAAGCATCAAAACTAACTTGTTTTCAGTGCTCTCTAGCAGTTCTGGATGTAGTTTTTGTTTTTCAGTTTTTCCTGTTTTCAGCACCCATGCAGTGCGGGTGCTTGTTAGGAAAGAGAGTGGAATAGACCCTGGAACTTCTTGGTTTAAGGAAACAGGACAGAATGGTAAAGCACAGTTTAAAGTTTGCTTATGTCCCCAGTCCTAGTGAGGACTAGCTGTAGTTAACATAATGAGTAACTGCACTTAGCTGAAAGTAAAGTAAGTGCTTTCCATCTCTGTGCAGCCACATTGGAACAGAAAAAGGGACAGAGGAATTCACAAGGCCGATGCTCATTCATTTAATCAATTAGCATTACAGCCATACATCCATAATAATGTTATTTCTTTGGGTGATTGGGTTTACAGAGTAGGACTAAAGAAATTGCTGTATATATTCTTCAATTACATTTTTTCAGTTGTGCATCTTAACCCATTCTTTTGTTTTTCCAACCAGCGGCCGTCAGTGCAGGCCATGGATTGCCCGCTAAGTTTGTGATCCATTGCAATAGCCCCAGTTGGGGTTCAGACAAATGTGAGGAACTGTTGGAGAAGACAGTGAAAAACTGCTTAGCACTGGCAGATGAGAAGAAGCTGAAATCAATTGCATTTCCTTCCATTGGAAGTGGCAGGTAAAGCGGCCCTATCAAACTTGTGACAAAAGAAGGCTTCTAAAACGTTAGGTATTGACTTGCTGCTGTTGTGTTCTGCTTTCTAAGTGTCACTTTGTCCCCTCTTACTGCAAAAGTATCGGAGAAGATATATCCACAGATTGCCCCTCCACTCCTCCATTTTCTTAACCCAAGTCCGTATTGAAACAGGGCGTGCCATGTGGAGTGTTTCATAAACTGTAGAGTTTAATGCCAGCATCGCACTTGGAAGTGAATCACATTTATCCCAGACTTCCCACAGGATGTGCCAACCCTCCCTATATATCCAGTGCTGCTGATTTCACTTACGTGGTCAAACATGCTTCTTCACAGGGCATGTGAGTCATTCTAGGCAAGAGCCAAAATAACTGAATATTAGAAGAGGGTGTCAAGATGGAAGCTAAGATCATGCGAAACAATAATCTGTAAAACAGCATAATAGCTTCCTTTGATGTGTGTGAAGCTTGACTTCTTCCTCCTGATTTAGGTAATCTCATTTACTTTTTTTTACCCAAATATTTGGAGAATTTTCTCAAGCATGGAGAAGCAAGAAGGTCTCTTTACTTGTCACTTTAATAAATAAAGCTAGAAGAAAAGACAAGACTCTTTAGCATTTGGTAGAACAACATTATATGTGACATGGGAGACCTTCTGTCATATCAATGCTATGAGTGAAAATGTGTTTCTTTGATGCAGAACATGGTCATCCTGTCAGTACAAGTATTAGGATGGTGGAGGGTTCCTTATTTGTATATTTGCTTTTGGCATTCTTAAAACATGAAAAATTTCTTAGGCTAACATTTTCTCTCAGAGATGGCACATGCACAGAGCTGTTCTGGAACAGGCATCTGTCAAGCAGACGCCCCTCATGAAACTGACAGAAAGAGCTCTGCCCTCTTGTATGACTGAAGAAAAGGTTTACATGAGATTGTTTTGTGTGCACGCATGTGTAAGTTTCAAGAAGACAGGAGGAACAGTTGTCAGGTTACAGTATTTATTATGCCAGCTGCTCTTACATGTGCACTAATTTCTTCATGCCGAATTGGTATGGCATTGAAGTCGCTGGATTCTGAAAGTGACGTTTATTTACTTACTTACTTTATTAAAATTGTATTCCACACTGTTAGACCCATAGGACATATGGGTAGCTTGTATTTTAACATCAAACTTTATCCTGCTTCAGCACTGAAGATCCAGCTTGAATTTGAGTTCTCAAGCCAACAAAAACAACCCTCCACTTTTTTTAACCACAAAAAAAGTATAGCAACTTTTGACACAGGTCTGGCTATTCCCATATTTCCAAGTACATGCATCCCATATGTAGGAGTGTAGTTACTGTATGAAACTGTGACATGAGAAAATGCATTTTGAGCCTCCTGGGCTGCCAAACATTCCTTTTTCTCCCCACTATTCTTTCCAGGATAGTGCCAGGATAGAAGGCACTTTGCTGTTAGTGCTTTATCAGAACCGTACCTTTAAAGTGGGTTGTGGCCAGATTGGTGTGGGTTCAACAGCCTTCAAGAAGATCCACATTATGGCTTCCCTTCATTTAGTCTTCCATCGCTGTGGCTGAGCTATTAGCAGTGTCTGCAGAGCCCTCTACAGGCTGAAGAAAAAATGAAGCACTTTCTATGTTTCTCTCCTGCTCTTACAAGAAGATGTTGTCATTGCTTCTCGCTCGCTGCCCTGTGCCTTCTGCTCAATCCCGTGAGAAAGGACCACACTCCCCCATTTTCTTCTGGACTTCTCAAGGGTACAGAAAAGGGAATGACTCCTCTTTCAAGCTTCTGTGACAGCCGCAGCACAGTCTTAGCCAAGCCTGCTCCGTAACAGGGCTCATGTTGCTCAAGGTGCGAGGCGAGTGGATGCGTGATTGCAGCCACAGTCGCTTCATTGGACTCGTGTCGGCTAAGTTCTCTGGCACTTGGGGCCTGCTCATTTTGCTGCCGACCTGGTTGTAATTTTGTAATGTGGCACGTGCGAGCAGACTCCTCCCTTTGGAGGGAATGGTGGCGGCCATGGCAAGTTTACTTAACAAATGTTGATGTTTGCTCTTTCCTTATAGGAATGGCTTCCCAAAACAGACTGCTGCCCAGCTGATCCTGAAAGCCATTTCCAGCTATTTTGTGTCGACAATGTCCTCTTCAATCAAGACAGTGTATTTTGTGCTCTTCGACAGTGAGAGTATAGGGATTTATGTGCAAGAAATGGCCAAGTTAGATGCCAACTAAGCATAGAGAGTAAACAAGACCTGCCTCCTGGCCCATTGCCATTCCCCTCCAATTCTTAATTCCTCATTGTGAAACAGAATGCCCCATATTTTAAATTTTGTTCTTCTAGGGGAATAACAGTGGGGCTTTTTTTTTTTTTTTTTGACTTTCTAAAATGTTTTTACGTTGGCACTGATAGTTGGCATTACTGCTGTTAATGCACTGTATTCCAGGCATTGTCTGAATCTAGTGTAATCTAGGAGATTTTATAGTTTTATTTTAATGAAGTATGGATTGATGCGGAAAGTTGTTAGCAGTACATAGTCTTTTATTCGTGGAAGAAACCGGCAGACCCTATTTTGTAACTGTGTCGTGGTGCTTTTATCAAGTGGCGTTCCTTTCTCATTTTTTAAAGAAGGAAAGCGGGGGAGATACTACACACCTAATTTGTGTTTACTTTTTGTCTTAATGATGGATCTGAGCAAAGAAGAACCTTGTTGCCCTTAATTATATTTGGAATTTGTGTGAATTGATTTAGTAAAATGTTTGAAATGGTAGTTGGTGTGTACCAAGTTGATGTTTTGCAAGCCTCTGATAAATGACTGCATCAAATGTTTCGATTGTTGGCCAGACAATGCACTGGTGCTTCAATACAATGACTAGCCAAGTACTCATTCATTAAGTTCTTATATCTGAAAGAATAAACCTAAGACTGTATAGAAGGTCTATGATGGAGGAAGCACCACTGAGTTCTACTGCACCATATTGACCATGGCTCAAGGTGGTATGGCCTTGATTCCCCATCGCTTCCATACGATGGAACACAGTATGCTATCTCTTGAGCTGATGTAGTTTCTGCCTGTTTGAGGTTGTACTGGGGAAAAGCTAAGCCTAGTACTTGATTGAGTCTTTGTATTCCTCGGCTGCTCCCCAAACCATCCTGTTTTGCTCCACAGAAAGTCAGCATCAGTGGATTCTTGCCTCTTGCATGCTATTCCTTCCTGCAATCTTTTCCTTTGGTCATACAAGGATATTATTGAGTCTTACCAATTTTATGCAAAACAAAAGTGTGGTCTCAAACAATGAAGCTTTTATTCATGAATATCTTGCTTAAAATAGATCTCAAATACCAACTGACCTTTTAAATGAATAGTTAAATTTAAAGATTGCTTTGAAAAGTATAGAGTTATTTCGTAGCACTGCAGATGTTCTTAATAGTGCATTTTCTACAAATTCCACTAGATGTCACTAAAAGGATTATAAGAGCTTGAGAAATAACTTATTGCTGGAATATTTTTTTTCCTGTAAGTTGCCAAGTTTAGTTTGTCAGCACTTTTTATATGGCCATTATTTCTGCGATCTGCCTAACACTAATGGAGCATTAGATGCCCCCCTGTATGTTCTTTGCAAGGAAAATGCTGTGGGTGTGTGAATTTGAAACTTCACCATAATATTAGATATCGGAATTCTGAGATGACTGCCTGCCATGTTGCATCATTTTCTGACAGTAAATGAAAAACAAATGTTTTCCTCCAGCCCAGAGTTCTGCAAGGCAGAGTTTATATTATACCCCACATGCAAAATATATTTGACAAATTTGCCCTCCTATTTTTACAGCAGGGTGGGCTGCAGAGGTGGGAGGTTAGTGGCATTCCTCTGGACATGAAAGGAACAGTTTTTAATTGTCCTCTGGAGCATGTCAGAAATATCCACCTGACCAGACTTCCTGCTGGCACTGATTTCTATCCCTAGTGCAGGTACTTACATGTTCTTTCTTTCATGCACATTGGCATGTACCTATATTTGTGCCCAGCTTCTCTGCAGCCAGATGTCTGCTCTTGCAGCCTCTTCGTAGAATTTTATGCATTGGGCTTTTACCCACCCCCAGCCCTTTCCAGCCAGAGATTGTGGAGCTTTTGCAGCCCAGCCATTTCTGGCTGCAGATGTTACGTCTGCACAACTGAAACTCCAGAGCCTCTCCTAAGCTGCATGGAACTTACCTAAGTTGGAGCAGATGCCTCGCTTCTACCATTTGCAGTCTGAGATTGTACTGTTTATGCTAAAGGCAACGCTTTGATCTTGGACTACAAATAGCAGCCAGCCCTTCACAAGGGAGCTCTCAGCCCACCAGGAGCTTCCTTCTGTGGAGCTTCTATCAGTGGCACCTGTATGATTGTGGTCTTCATGGGCTCTGGCTTCAAATGGGCAACATACTCACCTACTGTGGTGCTCTCGAGCTTTTTTCCAGTCAGGGCTCACACCCTCCGACCAGCGAGTGCAACCTGAGTTTGTGAGGTTGGAGAGCCCCTCATTCTAGCTGGTCAGATCTGTGCAGCATGGGACTTGTTTCCAGTTAGAAATTAGGGGATTTGCCCAGGGTAGAGTTCTATTCTTCACCACTTCTCCTGTGAATGAAAGCATGAAGTAGAGATGGAAAAAGTGCAAGACTGGGCCATCAAAACAGCCAGGATGTCAGCACATCTTCCCTGTGCGTACAGGCTAGGGCATGTCAGACACTGTCATCTCGAAAAGTGACAGCAGATGAAAGTACACTATTGTATGAACATACAGACAGAGATATTTTTTCTCTTCCTCCAGTAACAAGACTTGGAAGAACCTAATGTATTTTCAATAAATTCAGACATATTTCTTCACATAATCCCTAATTACCTTGCAGATTTATTGGCGTAAGATTTGAGAACTACTATTTTTGATGAACTAGATATGAATAATTAGCAGGGGGTGGGTTTCTTAACAAGTACTAGGCAAGATGGATTAATGGATCCTCTGCGGATAAAGTGATGTTCTTCTGACACCTAAGTGCTGTAACTGGAGGTGCATAGATTTGGATAAATCTGTTCTGTCTGTGTCATGGATTGACTGGCATCTTTCATTCTTCCGTCCAAGTACAAGCGTCTGCAGCACTACGGTGGCACCTGCATGTTCTGCTACAGGTTGCACAAGCAGATCTGAACAGCACCTCGTGCAATGAAGGCATCGCACGTTGCAAGTGCGTGGCTTGTGCGAGTGGAATCAAAACATGGGCTCACGACTATCGGGCGAGGATGACAATAAAGCTTTCCGCAAATAGAGGAAGCTTTATGCGAGCAGAGTATAACTGCTGGACACAAACTTGTATTCTCAGCACAGAGTTTGTTTTACTTTTTCCACATGTTTATTCGAATCAGTGTGGTGAAAGTCAAGGGTTTTTTATTTGTTGCACATTTCTGAAATGTAATAGAACTACAGATATAGGAATTGGACCCACTAAAGGCAAACGAATTGGGCCCGGCACCTCTGCAGATGTTGCCCAAGAACTGATTCTAATGGGGAAGGGCAGGTGGAAAGTGTTGACAAGGCTCTAAGGGTGTGGGAACAGGAGCCCAGGAAGAATAGCAGAGAAAGAAGCCCTCTAATATTTTGAAGAACACCAGGCTGGGTCCTTGGACCTGTGAGCATGCAGGCTTCTGACAGAGGAGGAGGGTTGCAATGCAGATCAAAAAATTAATCATCAGCTGAAAAGGGAGGGTCCACAGCTAGTGACGTGGCACTCAAAGGGACTTGCAGCCAGGGAGGTGATGTGGTAGAAAGACCCCTGAGGGAAGGACTGGTATCCCGATTGGCTTGACAAGAGCAGGCTGTAGCTGACAGTGTTCGTTCCATGACAACTCTTGTTCTAAGCCAGGGAACTAAATAAAGCTTAAGAGGTACAGTGTCATGCAAAGCCTGCCTAAAACCTTTTGTGTCTTCTGGAATCTTAAGCAAAGCTTGCTTGCTCATCATTTGTATAATAAACGTAATTGACTAAAAATGTGACTTGACAACTTGACTTCAAAGAGAGCTAGGGACTGACCTCAGAACAGGACAACCTATTTAAAATATGCAAATCCATGAAAACAGGTCTTGATAGGACTGATCAGTTGACATACTTTTCCCTGCCCCAGTTTCCCCCCATACACACATGCACACCATTGTCATATTCTGAACCAGTAGAAGTACTGGACCAGTACTAACCTGGTTCTAAATACCAACTCCTTTTCATCACAAAATTATGAATTATCTCCCGTAATAGCCAGACACGACAATATAATGGTTCCTAATTCATCTAAGCTTACATGTACTCACATGGATTTGGAGTCTCCAAATTCTACCAGTAACATGGGCTCCCAATATCTGTGGTTATTACAGAGCTATCCCTCCTTTCAGCCTCTTCAGAAAGAACTCTGGGACAGGTAGTTCTTGAGAGAATATTGCTTAGGGAAGTCCTGTCACTCAAACTCCAAGGCTTAGTTTACCTGCACAAGCACACCTTAGAGAGTGGTCCAGGCCAGCGTCTCGCTCTTTGGGATGTTGGTAGCACTGCTCCTGATGGGCTGCAGCAAACCTCACAGGATTTGGACAAGGAGAATCTTGAAACTAGGAAATGTGCTTCCATAAGTCTCTATACTCATGGTCTACAATTCGGTTTCAGTTCCTCCATGTGGCAAGCAGGTTGCAGCCTGAGATGGATGTCCTTGAGTCTCTGGACCCCAAACACTCATGTCTTTGGCCTCTTGTTGTGGGTTGGATGTACAGTACAGAGACCCCAGGAGACTCCGGAAGTTTTTGCCCTGTTGACCGAGCAGCACTGACTGGTACATCCACATACTCTGTCATTGGAGAATAAAATTCTAGATTTAAGCATGGTATTATCAGCTTCAAACAGACATTTAAGTCAGAAATAAATATCTGTTTGAAACAGATATCAATTATCACACAAGCACAGAAAATAGTACAGAACTTGTTGCTGAGAACATTATGTTTCTTTTTATGTACATTGGGATGCAAAGTTAGGTGTTTTAAGAGCAGGTATCTCTGACATGAAGGCAAAACTGATGTGTGCAAGGAAGTTTTATTCATAAGCTGTTTTCCAAGTTTCTCCAGGATGCTGGACATAACTGTGCTAGCAAACCTGGGGAGCTCAAATCTCTCTGATCAGGAAATTTGAATGGAATGTTTTCCTTCTTTACAACAGCTGCATACATCCATTGACTTCATAGAAGCAAGCTGGAGAAGATCTAATTTGAGCAAAACAGAACCTTGCTTTCTTTGTTATTAAATAATTTTCCTTGAGAAAGACCATTTATATTTGAAATGCATTGGGAAATGTGGAATCCTAGTGGCTAATAAATCTTTCTGTCACCAAATCCTTCTCTAAATTATTTTGAATCATGTTGTCAAAGCACTGCTAACCAATGCATTGAGCAGCAGCCCAACTCAATCACAGAAAATGGATCAGCTATTTTTATTATTTGTGGGATTCATAAATAGACATTTTCCCATATCACCTCCCATGCATATATCCATCATTTCATTAGTTATTTATTCTAGTAAAAATATACACACTTTCATAACAGCATAAAAATCAATATAATTAATCAATGCAAACCACACAAAGAAAACATTGGCACGAATGCTAAAGTCACTCAAGACAGTCACTCAAGACAATTTCCCAATCCCAAATTCTTGTTTAATAAGATTTTCATAAGAGCTCACATAGAGATGGGGCCTGCTGGAAGTCACTAGGCAGAAAACTCCGCAATTGCAGGGCCACCACTGAAAAGGCCCTGTACCTGCTGCCACCCAGCAGAATCGGGTCTAAGAGCAGGACCTTGGAAGCTAATTGATCCTGTGGGTTAAGGTGTAAGATGCCTGAAACTCAAGACCATTGCTTCAATTGGGCTAAGAAACAAATAGCAACCCAAAACAATTGGTACAGAATTGGTGCCAACTGATGAGCACCAGCCTGATGTGCTGCACATTTGCTAGTCTGCAACGGCTGCTGAATGTAGAGAGCAAAGGCCAGGCTGACCTTCTCACATCTGGTGAATCAACAAAGTCTAGTACGACGTGCTCTTTGACACACACACTCCCGTGGCTGCCTCCATTTTTCTGTGACCCTCTTGCTGGGGTCAGAAGGTCCAGCAACTAGACTGCCATCACTATTGTGGTTTTCTGGGTATTTCCACGAGCCTGAAAGATCTGTGGCTCGCACTGAAGGAAAGAGAGAGGCTCTGTTCTGTGACATATTCCACTGCACTAACTTTCACTGCCAGCAAATAGCACACGTTAGCGTCCATCAGCAGGTTTCATGTATTTATACGGTACACACTCTGTGGTTTCTGGTGCATGCATACACTAGAGGGTACAAACGGCATTGTATCGGGCTACATCCTCATAAGAAAGAGGAGGAAAAGAAAATACAGCTAGTGTGTTTTCTGGCTATCTTAAAGTTGCTTTTGGAGCTACTGATTGACTTTTGCATATTATTGTACTGTGACAAGCTGTTACATTTGAATAAGGTCTGGCATTGAGGACTGCAGCATACAAAATACCAATTTTAAAATAAGTTACCTACCAGTAATCATAGGAAACATTTGGAAGATTCACCCATCATGCACAATGACCCTGTGCAATGTCTGCAGCTCACATATTTTTAGCTGGACCTACCAGCTGATGGTCACACATGATTTCCATGCAAATTTGGCTTCTGTGCTCTCCACTCAAAATGTTTCTTATGTACTTTGCATTCAAATACTCTGTATCCTACCCAGAAGCATGGAAGTGCATGTGGAAGTCACTTAAACAGCTTCCTTGAACACAGAAAACTCCTCTGAAAGGCTGGTTCACAGATGTGTGCTGATCCTTTGACATGACTGGGAAAGATGTGAATGGGCCACACCAGCTCAAACACCAGCCACTGGATGCTTATGACAGCTCAGATGCAGCTTGTTTATCCTCGCCACTCTCTGGTATTCTTCAGAGCAGAAATGTTGCACATTTTTCAGCTCAAAGGCCAAATTCAGCCCTAGAGAAGCTCCTGGTGGCCACATTCCAGTGGTGGGTTGGAACAAAGGGGAAAGGGGTGGGCACAAAGCACCTCCCAGCATATTTTAGCTCTTCTGCCAGTAACAAAGCCTTCAGAAAGGCATTTCAGACTAGAATGGGGAAGAACCAGAGGCTCACCAAATGATTGGCATTCAGGAGAAAAGAGAGGTCCAGGGCAAGGGGTTAATCCGGGCAGGGTAATCCAGAGGACCAGCCTGGAAATCCAGGAGGTTCAAATTTGATCTTTGGGCCTGCTTTAAATGCTTTGAAAATAATGATGATGGTCCACTGGATATTGAGGATGCTATCACTGGTGAAAATAATGGACTGGTTCTGAAAGGTATGTGAGTTTTTCTAATTGAGCAAACTTAGAACAGGGCACCCATCTTCTTTGGACCTGTGGGAATTTGGGAAGTTGCTGTGGGCCCTACCAAAAATGCCTCATCAGTGGACTACTGTTTCAGCATTGCAATTGTAGAGAGTAAGATGCTTGTTCTTCAGCAAAAAAACCCTTTTCCTTCATGTCTTTTGAATGCTGCAACATCACTTTAGTACGAGAACGTGAAATGCAACTATTGGTGCAACACGTGGGACCCAGTGAGTGCTTCTTTGAAACACATGTTTTGGCCATGTCCAGTGGCTGCCTCTTTTTGCAAGAAGGCTTCACACTGTGTTTGAAGGTTCCAGCCTTGAATAGTCGCTGAAGTGTATGTTGAAATAGTTTGCCTGCTTCATGGAAATTATCAAATGGCAGGGATTCATAGTACCTTTTTGACAGCTAAAAAAAATGGGTGTGACACGTTTGGAAGGATGCACACTCGGCTCTGACGTGCAATGAACTGAGGAACTCAGAACACTTTCAATATTCTTCCAAGTGCAATGGAGATGCTGCCTTCAAATAGCTACATATTTGGATATTTCACCATTTTTTGTTGAAGTCTGTGAATATTTGCTCGAGCATTATACTTTCCATATCCATTAATCACTATGGATGGATGCAAATCCAAAGAACAGGGCAATAAAAAACTTTTGTAGGTGTGTGTTGGGGCCCTGTTCATGGGTGCTGCATTGCTGACCCATCTTAGGAAGTCTCTAGGTCCCAAGGTCTGACTTTCTCGAAAAGTGGTCATGGTCTTTATTATCTGCTGTGTTGCCTGATCACAAGTGATGCACATTCGCCAACTACAGATAACAAAACTAGGCATGATATGAGACAGCCCTGTCCTAAGAAAGGGGTGTAAATGTGTGCCCCCTTTTCCGACACCACATCTCTAGAGCACCCCTTACTTTTGAGGTATCAATCTGGCCATTCTTTTGGATTGTTACCCTGGACAGGAGCTGTTAGTAGCATCCACGAATCGGGCCCAGAACCTCCACTAACTAGCCTTATACATTGCTTTATATGTCCTTTCCAAAGGGCCATAATACCTAAAGTTATAACTGCAGCTCAAAGGCAGCAGCATAATTGATAGGCCTGCAGAGTGCAGGTAAGTAGAAGGATTGCATTTACATCCCTGGTCTGAAACCCACAGGGAACCAGGCTAGTGCACACTGGCTAAAAGATCTGAAAATTGCCACCAGTTCCTCTCTGTGTTCTGTTCTGCAGAGATTTACTTCATTCCTCCATAGAATCCAACTTAATGCCTCTCCAACTCATGTTTAACCATTATGACGAGCAACCAGTTCATCAAGGTCTTTGCTCTTGGCTGGCTTTCACAAACAGGAATCAAGGGGAGATGATATTTGCTCTTTTCTAATAGCAAACAAATAGTGACAACATTTCATAGGGTAGCCTATGAAATCCCAACTCTGCCACATGTGTTTTTGCACCAGTCCGGTTAACACAGGAAATTTGATATTTCTGTACCTTGAAATGACTCGGCTTCTTAGGCTTAGGAGAATAAATTAAAGTTGAGCCAAAGTATGCCTCAGCTGCAGTGGATG